CCTGGACTGGGGTTTGGGGGTTAGGGTTTAGGGGGGTTCGGGGGTTTAGGGTTTAGGGTATATATATATATATATACACATATTGGGGATATATAGGGGACAATGGAAAAGAAATGGAAACTACTACAGTATATGGGTGGTTATATTAAGATATTCTGCTGATTGGTTCTCGTAGGGAATAAAGGATTATATGTAGTGATTCTATTCCCTTATTCCGTACTATAACCCGGATGTAAACCCTATTATAATGTAGTAGTTTTCATTTTTCCATTACCCCTATACAACTCTAGTAAATTATTTACATATGCTTATATATATACATACATATCTTCCCCTATTCCCTACGAAGAACCAGCAAGCAATTCACTGCTCAACTTCTTCACACATGCCGCCCGTTAGGCACCAACGCAATTCCTTAAGAGGTCCCAATACCCCAATAATGGGGCATGCATATGTGTATACATATATTTATGTATGTATATATGTGAGTTTGGGTTATATAGGGATCATGGTAAAGAAAATGGAGACTACATTATAATGGGGCATAGGATACCTAACACCCCAATATTTGGGCGCGTCAATCCTCAGGGATTAAGACAGCTCCGCAGCATCCCCGCTTGTTGCCGAACCAGGATGAACTACTGTCAAGATTACCTAAATCAAGGGACTTTGCTCTCTCTATATATAGACATATATATATATATAGACATTCCCTCAATAAGGAACCAGTGTCCATTAATTTGTGGCTCAGATGATTCTGGTGGATCTTTCGGACATGGGCGAATTTATTTCAGCGGTGCAGAACCGCTTCGCAGCTTCGGTGGCAAGCTCGTTGAGAGAGGTCCTGCGCCGCTGACTGTTCCGAGTTCACTGCGTTGTATCTAAGTTGTTTGCCTCAGCAGGTGTTGAGACATGTAGGTTTTGAATGATTTGGCTGCAGCAAATCAAAAAAACATGTAGAGTGCTGCGAAGCTTTGCCAAGGTATTTCTCACATGTATCTCCAGAAGTCAGCTGAGCCTCGAGAATTCGTGCCTGCGACAGCAGTACACGCATGTCCCAAGCAGGTTACATGAAGTTTGACTACAATCTCAAGTCCAGGTAGAGTGTTTCCAGCTGCAAAATAAATGCAACTGTGCAAACTTTTCACAGGGCTCGGCTCACCAACTCAGGAGAGTCCGCGTGGACATGACTGGAGGTGCCTTATCGAAACTCCTGGGGGTTGAGGTTTAGGATTTAGGGTTCTATGACTGGTTCCCCCGTGCCATATCGTTGTAGCTTGACAATGGTCCATACCTCTGCCTTATGCGTCGCATGCAGGAAACTGGGGAAGAACGACGGATGCCGACACCGACTTGACCAGCATAGCATACACGCTCCAGGATTTATATCCCCAATATAACCCTATATACCCCTGTATAACCCCAGTTTCCATTTCATTTTCCATTTTCTTGTCCATTTGATTCTCCATTATAGGGATATAATAACCCCAATATATAACCCCATAACGGGTACCATAGTATCCAGGATGTCCACGTGTTCAGATTCAAGCCAAAGTTTCGTCTTCTGACTTGAGCACGGGATTGGATCCTTATAGCGTAGTCCCTGTATAACCCATGATGGGAGTTTCCATGTTCTTTTCCATTATTCCTATATAACCCCTAACATATATCCCAATATACAATATAATTAATAGGAATCACACAGCTTTGCTGTAAAGTTTCCGCTAATCGGCTGTCGGAATGGGAGACGAAGCGCCAGCCTGTTGTCACCTTTGACTTTGCAGGACTTGGTCCAGAAGCAGCAGTTTGTCGAGGAGTTTTGTGGGACGGTCACCGTCATGTTTGCTGCAATTATCTGGCTATATAACCTCAATATTAGTAGTCTCCATCTTCTTTTCCATTATCCTTATATAACCCCAATATATTACAGTAGTTCCCATGTTCTTTTACATTATCCTTTCTGATACAGAGCCACAGAAACAGCTGAGGCAGCTTCCTGGCTGAGCAGCCTATGGAAAAATAGCAGTTAACAAGCCAAGCAATCCAGCAAGTGAGTAAGCACGCTAAACAAAACACAATGAATCAAGTAGCATTGTAGCGTATGGAAGTTGATCGTGCGGGGTTGGTGGCTGCATTTGCTCTAAGATTTCTGGTGTGTTTGCGCAGGAGCACATCTCGCTGCTTGGCCCATGTTGGTATTCTTTAGATCCAATACTAGAAGGCTGTGCGACATGCTCAAGCCAATTGCTTGCTTGTTTGCTTGGTGGCACACAGCTGCTAACTCTCTGAATGCCTCAATTAATGTACACAAGCAGCTACTTGGGCTGAAGTCCCAGAACTGGTGCCAAATCCGGACCAAGGCACTGACTTTCCTGCACCTTGGCTGCTTGGCTCACGTGTCGCAAGATTTGACAAGGAGCGTTTGTGAGGGCCAAGAAAGTTGCTGCAGCCAGGCAAAATGCACAACCTGGGCATACCACCTACCAGAGTTTAGTAGACATGGATGATTCAGTCACTCAGCCCAAAGTGCCCCCATTGTGGTGCAAGTCAACTGAGGGCGCGCAGACAGTCTTCAGCAGTGAGCCAACATCAGTAGTTGTTCTACATGAAGGATTGCCTCAAAGTTTGCTGCTTCAAAATGAAGCAGTGAAGATGCTCTTGGGCAGCAGGCATCAACATGAATCGCAAGGGAGGCAAGCTCGGGTAGCTTGCATCCTGGATACAATTCCGTGTAACAGCCGTTGACAAGCTATTGGTTTCCGCCGAGTTATCACTAGGGCCTGGACCGCTCACCACCCCTATTGCAGCACCACGTCTGGAGCTCCTGAATCAAGCCCTTCAATATGAGTGGATATAAGGATAACGGAAAAGAAAATGGAAACTACTATAGTAAGTATATTGGGGTTATATAAGTATTCAATATGAGTGGTTTCTATGAATTGGAGGCCCTTTGAGGACCTGGCACTGCCCTCTCAAAGCTCGTCCACCATCAACCAAGCAAGCATGTGCGATGTTGTTCCGAAACTTATAGTCGTTTACATTTTCTCTTCATTTATCCCTATAATATAACCCCCATATACTATAGTAGTTACCATTTTCTTGTCCATTATCCTTATATAACCCCAATACACTATAGTAGTTTCCATTCACTTTTCCATTATCCCTACATAACCCCAACCCTAAGCCCTAAACCCTAAGCCCTGAACATGCGATTGAACGAACATGATATTCCTCGTGCACCAAGTGCAGGCGTAAAGGTCCGAGGGGTTGAAAAAAAAACGCTAATCCCTAAACCCTATGCGCTACACTCCCGCAAATCAATATGGAAACCCATTTTGCCACCTTTTTAAAAGGGACTGTAGTCTTTATAGGGCCCTTTTTGGGTTTCTATGTTAGTTTCCGGGAGGGTAAGCCCCCGCATCACAGCTCCAGCAGTGGTTGTCTTTGTCGGCCAGAGGGTGCCACCTCCAGCAAATCTGCGCTCTCTTCATATTCGGACAGCTGACATCCCTGCGTACATATGAGCTATAGCCTAAACTAAACTCCTTAAAGGGGGTTATAATATAGGAGATTATATTGGGGACTACTATAGGGGTTATAAAGGGGGGATACTAGGAGTCTAGACTATAGCTCATGTCTGGGGCCACCAACCGCATTTTTGGCCTGGCTGCAAAAATATTTGATGTGCCAAGAGTTCAGATGAGTCACAATCAACGGACTTGGAATACCACAAATTGCTGGAAGTGTCTTCCTGTGAACATCACAACGAATTTTCAAGTTTCACACCGCAGGTGAAAGCTTCTGTTGCGCACTTCAACCCAGAATCTACCTTAGGTCAGCATGGCAAGATGAGCTATAGTCTAAACTCCTTAAAGGGGTTTGATAGGGGATTGCATAAGGGAGTATTATAGGGCTTATTAAAGGGGATACTAGGAGTTTAGATTACGGTGCATATGTTGTTGGAAGTTGAACAACTTTGGCACGTTGGCGATACTTATTAGAAGGTGCGCGCACTTTTTTTGAACGAATGTACTCTGTTGGGAGTAATCCGCAAACGTCGGCCCATAACGAGTGCCAGCTACAGCACAAGGGAATCGGCACCGAGCTGACTCCTACGTAATCTCCCTATGAATCCCCCAGAGAATCCCAATGTATGCCCCAATATAATGTAGTGGTTTCCATTGTCACCCATCCCCATATAGCCCTGAACCCTAAACCCCATCGTGATACGGGGGTTGTCTAAAGGTCGCTGCAAAGAAGGGACCATTCGGAGTTCACTTCCTTAAAAGAGGGTCCTAACCAAACAGAGAAACTGGCCATTTTTGGTGACAGGCATTTTGAACGACGACCGTATGCTTTAAGCTGGATCGTGTTACGCGCCCTCGCAATCGGTTGCCGATTCCCAGTTGCACATCACAGCACCGAAGTAGAGCTGTGAGTGCCCGAAGATCGGCCCAACCTTGCTGCCACTTAAATGGCTTGGGGTTCAGGGCTTAAAGGGTTAGGGTTCAGTGTTTGGGCTTAGGGCTTTGGGGCTTAATTAGGGTTTAGTATGGGGTTGATAAAAGGGTTCTGGCAGTTTTACATAATAGAGGGACCCCAAAATAGACACCCAGTCCCCATTATGGGAGCCCCCCCAAAAGGGACCCTTAATTTTGGGAAATCCCCAAATGTGCTCAGGCATCCCTTCAATACCCTGGCTCGGTATAGTCTGTGAATGCAACGCAAAAATTGGCTTGTTTTCTTTTCGATGTTGTTCTCCATTGTTCGGCGTTGGGGGTAATATCCCTGTATAACCCGCATGTGATCCCGATAGTGCCCAAATGTAATGCAAAGGGGTGTTAAAAACAAACTATCAGAATAATTATGAGCTATAGTCTAAACTCCTGAACGTGGGTCATATAGGGGATTACACAGGGGAGTATCATAGGGGTTATTAAGGGGAACCCGTACTAGCAGTTTAGACCATAGCTCATATGCTTGCAGCATATTTGCCTAAGGCCATGTGCTGGAGCACCCGTCTGTGGCGGCAAGAAGTCTGGAGAGATACTACGTGCCCAGGAGGTGCCAGGGCCATGCTGTTACAGGGGTTATGTAGGGCCTATAGGGGTTACATAGGGTATATATATATGAACTATCCTAGTATCCCCCTTATACTCCCCTAAACTACTCCCCTATATAACCCCCGTCAAGGAGTTTAGACTATAGCTCATATGGGGATTATGTGCCTGTGTCATTGGGTCCTGAGGCTTCCTCCTCAGCAACCCCCGGTGGTGCTGGCACTTCCGCCACTCCACCAGAGATTCGCCTTGAATTACAGGTTAGATATAATGTTGGGAAAATGGAAGATGAAATTGAAACTGCTATATATGACATGATGGGGATTACAAAAGGATACTACCCCGAAAAGTAAGGATGATGATGAGTATTATTAATACAAATGGTAGTCTTAATAGTAATAATATTGAAGAATGAAATGGAAAAGACAAGGACAATTAAAGGAACCTGGTTGCGCCTCCACTGTTCTGAAGCTCAGACAGGAGTGGCTGCCGTTATCTGCCCACATCCCAACCCATGCTCATGGCTCTGCAACAGGATACCAAGTTTTCTAGCTTACAGGCAGAAGACACATTTTTCAGCCTTGCCAAGCGCAAGCTTGACCTTGCAAGAAAGTCAGAACGCAAGCCCTGGAAATGGAATGCCCGAATGTGCAGGACAAGTATCTATAGACTCGTTGGCTTTCAGGTAGGCTTGCCAAGTATTGTACATCGACAGCAGAGGCAGCAAAACAGAAGTTATGAATTATGCAGATGGCAGCTCCGCAAGCCCGGCATTTCATGCCGAGCGATGACCTTCACATTGGACAGTGGATTGAACCAAACTGCTTCGTAGTGCAGTTCTGCTGCTTCAAGCAACAAGGTGATGCATGTTTCATCACTGGTATGCAAGGATATCCAGCTTGATGCCTTGAACATGTTGATGTGAGATCATGCCTGCGATGATGGCAGGAGAGCTTCGACGGCACCCGGCCCAGCTGGCAGCTTGCAATCTCCGTAGGCTGAGCGGTAGCACAAGTAGGCAGAACAACAGCGCAGGAATTGCAAAGCTCGTCAGGGATGGCTGGCTTTTAGCCACATTAGTTGCTACCCTCCAAAGACCTTTTCGTCGCAGAGAGGTTGGGTGAAACTTGCCGGGGAAGCTGGTTGGATTTGCCAGGCCCGGTGGGCAAATGCTGCAACGAATCAGCAGACCGGTTCAGGAAAAACATTGTCTTCCGCAAGCATTCGGTTGATCATCACCACATTTTGGTGACAGTAGCGATGGCCGAACAGGTCGGGTTAGGTTGGTCCCCTGAGAGGTTGACGAAGAGCTTGGCGCAAGTGGAAAGAAGTGCCTGGAGGCAAGCATTTCCTGCTTGGACCTTGTCCTCTCGAACGTGCTACAGAAATGGCATCCGAGCAGTGCTTCTCCCGAACACCTACAAAACAGCCGTCGTGTGGCCCAGGGTGACTTGTTCATTGCTTGGAATAGCCGCCTCCTAGGTAGGGAAAATCCCAAGGTGTAACCACATAATATCCTAAGGTCTCTCACCCTCGTAATTCCTTTTATAGTTATCACCAGGGTTTGGTAATTTACGTGCCTGTTTCTATCATAGGCGTTGGAGAAGCCACGGGCCGCGCTCTCAGATGCTCGGTATGCTGCAGACATTCGCTTCCCCAAGCAGAGAATCAAAGCTTCATCCTTTGGTAGTTTCTATGAATAGAAGGACCCCAACGTGGACCCCACTAGATTTCAGGCTTGATTATGGGGACCCCCAAAAGGGACCCCTAATTCCCTCAGAAGTTCATTGTACGTCGTAGGGAAGTTGTGACAAAGGATGGGTTCAGATCCCTGCGATAGAAGCCTGAGGCTATGGCTGTCGAGAGCCTTTCCAAGACACCAGGTCGCCAAATGCTGGAGGCAGATGTGGGAGTTTCCCTAGATTAGGGTTACCTTTCTGGGGGTCCCCATAGTAAGGATTATAGTATTTTGGGGTCTAAATTGGGGTCCCCCTACTGAGCTGCTGGCAATATTAGCCTGAGAAAGGGACGCGTAACCGTGGACATAGGCGTCCCCTGTGTGGTATAAGGAACCCATGTCTATTAATTATGTAGGAAATATTCATGACTCTAGTTTAGGTGCTTCCGGAACTGTAGGTTCAAAACAACGTCGACTCCATGTTGAATGGCGCCCTAGAATCTGCAACCTGACTTGCGCACAGAAGGACATGTGCCTATCCAGCCGCAGCTGTCAAATGCTCGCTTGTCAGGTTGTGGCGGATGATGGTGTGGACCTCCTCCGCGTGCCACGAATGCAAGCAAGACATGGTCATCAACTGGTGTCGTCTGATTTTCAGACACTCGTGGCTTCACATGCTGGCCTACGGAGTCTGCCAAACAGGCATCAGGCGCTAGGATGGATGCAAAAAAATGGATCCCTTAATGTTTGACATTTCTGGAACGCGCACAAGGTTTTAGCAACACGTACCTGAGGGACAAAGGCATACCGAACCTCGCATGACAGAGGGACGTGCTGGGCTCGCGGCACAGGCTATGCTCTCTACCTATAAGGGAGAGCATTGCCTTTAGAAGAAGAAGAAGAACAGGAAGAGAATGAACACTGACTATGACAAAAGTAATACACCCTACTTCGGATTAAGCCCTATCCTCCATTAGCAATTCGAAAAGGTGAAGCAATGGTTGCCCCATCATAAGCAGACGAAACAAAGGTGGCCCGCACTGAAGCAACTTGTGTTGGGCTGCCAAATCTGAACTATTAACGCCCCTACTTAGTTTTATGTAGCAACCCGACTAGGGTGGTAACATATTCAAACAGCAACATCCATCGTTCTCGTTGCGTGGATGCACCCCCAGTCTTGATACATGCGGATGAACTGCTCTGAATACCTCAACACGGGCCTGGCACTGGCCGGCCCCTAGCGCTGCCAGGTGTCAGTGCCTGATTGAAACAAAGAAAAACAGAAACAACAGAGAGGGGTACAGAGAGTGTTGCCGCGTTCCACTAGTCACTAGTCCAAGCATGTCAGAATAGGACAACATCCTGTTGTGGCGAGTGCCCAGGACCCCTATGACGGTGCTCTATTGCTGGGCCGAAGGATGCCGATCTGCTGCCACAAGCCGTCACAGGAACCTCAGATTCGGCCTACAAACCATGCATGCTGTTGGAGGAGCTTTGGCGAGTTCCTCTTGGCAGATTCTCAGACGCCGCAGGCTCAACTTCTCAAGCAGGATGACTCTAAGCCAAAGTAGGTGCAAGCAAAGTTTGGCCCGGGTGCCATGTGACAGGGATGATTGAGAACTGTAAGGTGTAGGTGTTAGAAAGAGCACCATTTCAGCAAATACCCGGCCCCATTTAGTGTCTACTGAACTATTGCTGGCAGCTTTCATTGCGCAGCTGGTAGTTTCTAAAAGCTCAGGTACCACGGTTGGGTCCGGCTATCAGACAATGATGGTTGGGCACAGGCCAGCCTGATTTGAGCGCTAGTCTAAACTCCTTAAAGGAGGTTATGTGGGGGATTATATACAGGAGTATTATACGGGTTCTTACTGGGGGATATTAAGAGTTTAGACTATAGCTCATTTCTGTTTCTGCATTCCTCTTGGCTCTCACCCGGGCGATCCGAGCAGGCTGTGAGTGGTTCAGGGGAGAAGCTCCTTCTTGGAGCCATGGCCTTACCTGGGCCTCTGTCGGCCAAAAAGCCATAGATCGCATCACCGCCTCCGAGCTTTTCACGATCTTTAAGTTCTCAGAACCAGTTCTGAACCCAGCGGCAGTAATAATAATGACATGAGCTTAATAATAGTAATAGTAATAGTGATAGTAATGGTGACCGTAATAGTAATGTCTGTGTTGTGCAAGATCCGGCCTGACGAGCTGCAGCTGACGCAGTCAGATGGGCAGGCTTGTTATTCAGAGTGTTCCGTGCCCGCAGATGTGGCTAGCTTTGCCAGTTCCCAAAGTAACCTGCAAAATCTTCACAGCTCTGGCAGGCTATCCCAGAAGAGGCGCAAAAAGAGCAGTTGGCAGCGGCTGCAGAAGAGGCCAGCGCTTTTGAGACTGGACCGAGTCTATCAAGAGCTTGCAGAACGCTGCCTTGAATCTGCTCACGTGTGCTGTTTTGTCGGTGCGTTTCTGCTGGAAACTGGGTGCCTCCATCCGCTTACTTCATTGGACTGTCAGGCAGCTCGGAAAGAGGCTCTGCGACAACTGGAGGCTGTTTGATTGCATCAGTAGGCAAGATGGAGCTTTCAGCCCCTCCAAGACATGTGTAGCTAGGAGCAACTCTCCTCAGATGGACTGTGTCTCACGCTTGGTGGAGGAACTCTTAAACCTAATGTTACCACAATATATCCCTAATATTACCCCAATATTATAAGCCCAATTTGTAGTAGCTTCCATTTTATTTTCAATTATTCCAATATAATCCCCACCATCTTGCGAACTGCCATTGTGGGCATCAGCTTCTGATGGCGTAGTTACTCACTCGAGCTCCTAGATTTCAGTCGCTCTTTGAATCAACCTAACTTTGCTCACTTTCTCTCCCCGCTCCCTGGGTACGGACAGAACTCGTTGAAGGATTCAATGCCCATTACTATTATGACGATTATCCCTACTATTGTTGTAACTATACTATTACTACAGTATTATTACGACAATAATGATAATTATTACTACTACTACTACTACTACTCCTGCTACTATGGTTGTTCTGTAATTCTTGCTATTGCGATTCTTGCGAGGCCGCAGCTTTATCTGGGAACTCTGCTTTCTTCTGCCAGCTTCTCAAAGGGGGTTTCCGGAACTTACCTCAAAGGGTGGTACTGCGTCATGCAAAGTTAGCGTCTGGAAAGTGGCTCTCGATATTGGCTAAAGGAGGTTTTGTGATGACCAAACAAGGACGTGATTCGTGGACTTGCTAGCTCAAAACCCTAAACACTAAACCCTTAACCCCTAAACCCTTAAACCCTAAAACCCCTAGGGGCTGTCATCAATATCTTTGCGAAGCCGAGGCGCCGCCCTCGAGGTCGCGCGGCAGAAAGGAGTATCCAAAAAGGCGGGTCGTGGTGTCAAGCCAATAAAGCTCATTTTGAAATGTCCTCCATTTATGGTACCTGAACGCGTGAGTTTTAATCTCTTGTTACGGAAATAAATTCAGCTCAGCGCGGTGCATCCGAGATGGAAATTCAAATCTGTATTCCAAATTGGGAATTTCCATAATTGAGTAGACTGAGTAGACCCCAAAATAGACCTGAAATGCTTTGATCACAATCCTTATTATGGGGACTCTCCACGGTACCCCTATTTCTGGAAGAGCCTCAATTGGATCAAGGACATTGCCAAAGCCAATGCCATGCCTGTGCCCCAGTTGTCCAGATCCATGCACTCAACAACCTCATGCTTGAAAGCTTGCATGCTAATGATGGTAATAGTCGTAATAACGATAGCTAAAATCAGTTGAAAACACTCTTGTTGTCCATCGTTCACGCAGCAAATTGGGAGCTATCTGCTGCAAGTACAAGCACTGCAGCTCTTTGACAGGCGTTCTTGAAACTTGCGAAGCGGCAAATAGCATTACGTTCGGACCTTGGTCTGCGCAGTCGACCTTTCAAGCTTTTCAGGACTTGTTGTTTTATTGTTGTTCACAATGTCGGATTTGTGGCAGGCGTGCTGGAACTACCTTCTGGGCCAAAACTTAGTAATTTAGAGTAGCCTGTGATGCCCTCTGCAACAGCTACAGCCGTGCAAGCTCTGTGGCTTTGTTGGCCCTAAGAGTTGCGCCTGTCAGTTTAAGCTTGCGCATCGTAGAGTAGGAGTTCGATCCCATAGACGAGTCTGTTCAGCTGCGCCAAAAAAGACAGCTTGAGTCCGCGTGCCCTTCCAGAAGCATTCAGAATCGCCCCTTGCCGCCAAGCACTTCACATGATTCTTCGGCGAGTGTTGGAAGTACCGTGCAGAATCAGATGATAGTGATCATGTCCGTCATGATCCAACTCGAGTGGACATTTCGCAGAGATTACTCGGAATCTTGCTGAACAGGTTCTCAGATGTGTCTTGCTTGCCTCACATTTTTCCCGTGGTCCGCAAGCCTCGCATCGCTGGCTTTCTAGCGATCTTGCGTGGAAATTTGCATGCTCATGGGTTTGGAGATGTACATACATACATACACACATAGATACATACATACATACATGCATACATACATACATACATACATACATATACACAGTATATACATGTGTGGGGGTGGCTGCGGAGGCTTCGGGCTTTAGTCTGAGCAAAAAGTCTTTCAGCCGCCACTCCTGCACCATCTGAAGCAAGGGATCACCAACGGAATAAGGCCTGAGCGTTAAAATTGTTTAGAAGGACTGCAGCAAGTCGCTGATGCATTGACCAGATCATCAAATCTCGTTGGACAGAACCGGGAGGGATAGCCGCACCTTGTTGGCTGGCTTGGTCAGATGGGGCGAGGGCGAGAGTTTGCAAATGGTTGGCGTGAACCATTTTCTGCTAGCACCTGAGTAAAGCCAGGTCCGATATGCTATTGACATTCTTCTTTACACATGACCGCCAGCATGCTTACAACACGTATGCCTGGTAAGTGCCCCAAACCCTAGAGGTATTACTGTAGATAATCAACTTACCTTCTTTGTTTAGGGCCACAAAGCGCGCTTCTGCTTTGGGACGGCCAACCTGGCATGTCATGGCTGTGTGTTCTTTGTTTGGCAGGTTGATTTTGAGCCCATGCATGGTTTGCTAATGTTAGCCAACCACGTCAGAGTCCGAGGCCAATCAGAATCAGAGTCTGCTGTCCTGCATAAAAGCGCACAGGCTGTTCTGCTGACTTTTTGTGGTTCAAGTCTGTGCGGGGGAGGGGGAGTGAAGGAGGAGGAGGAGAGGAGACATTCCAGGCTCCATGAGTAATGTCAGAGCGTCGCTTGATGCAGCTTTTGCGTGGCGGGCTAAATGCGAGCTGTCAGCATAAGGTCACGACCGTGCAATCCACTCTTGATGGATTTCACAAGCGTCTCGACCATGTGCCATCCCTGGGCAGGAAATGGCTACTAATACCACCATGGATCCTGCCACTACCTCGGGCGTACTTCAAGGGATTTTAAGGGTCATTCAGGGTCAACGTCTTGAATCTGACGCAGGACTTTTTCCAGCGACTTGGGCTAACACTCCCGCGCACTGAATACTAGTTCACTTGGCTGCTTGCCCCTTGAACAGCCTGATTGCCAGCAGAATGACAGCACTGCCCTGCAATTCCCGCATCATGCCCAGCTTGGGATTTCAAGCCTCTTGCTTGCCGGTTTATATGATCTGCCGGCTCCTGCACAGCTTTGGCATCACTTCTGACCAAAAGCGCAGTGAGGTCATGGCCCTGATGGGTTGGCACAGCGAACCACTTCTGTGCCGACCCTTGGGATTTGTCCACAAGCGATCGTGAGCTGTGCCTTACCTCCTCGACCCGTCTTTGCAGTTTTGCAGTGCGGCAGATGCACAGATGCTCGTCTCGAGGTCATACTGCGATAATGGAAAATAAAGTGGAAGCTACTATATTGGGTTATATAGGGATTGAAGGGTTACACTGGGTTTTATTGGGATAATGGAAAATAAAATGGAAACTACCTGTTCTGCACTCAGATCACTGGCCTCTTACTTCTCAGTAAAGCAAAGTTCGACCCACGGGCTTTTGTGCTCAAATCTCTGAACGGGAGCCCTGCTCTACACCCAGGCTGCAGCGGCTGAAATATCACGTAGCTGAGGCAGCCAGGACCTCGGATATTCTGAAAGTGAAAAAGCAAGTCGAAGAGGGGTCTAGCACGTAGGACTAGGGTAGCTAGGGTTCAGGCTAATGGTTAGGGTTTCCCGAAAAGCGCGGAGCCATGACCTTTGTGCAATGCGATTTCGGCATGCCACAGGTTCTAGAGATCAGCGCCATCTCAGCCAAGCCCTCAGTGTTGAGCGATGCGAAGATGAGTTTGTATTCCTGCCGTTGGCTTCGTTGTGGGCTTCAAACTTATCACTTGAGCTACTGTAGCAGCGGCACCAGGGGCAGCGCGCAAGCAGCCATGAGCACAGTAGTGACCCAGAATTAGCTATTGACCGCTCCGACTTATCCCTTGATCCTGGTATGGTGACAGCATCTCTATGTCCTGAGCATGTAGAACAAAGATGGTCGTCTCCCAGAGCACGCCTACTCTGAAACAACTTTTGTTGAGAGCTTTTGACAATTCACAGCTCGTGCTTCAATCTGCCAACCTGCCATTGGAAACCTGTCAGGTCTGCATGTATCTAGCTTGCCAACAACTTCAGCCAACAGGACCGCCGCCTGCAAGCGCTTGGCGAGTGTATGCGTTTTGCCACATTGCTTGAGACCAGGACTTTTTATCCGATTGCACCTTGGCAAGCTTTCTGGGGCTTTGGAAGGTGCTCATTCAATTTGTTTTTAGTACGGGTATTATGATTAATATTACTACTATGATTGCTAACTATTATTGCTAGGATAACTAAAACTTGTCGCTAATGTTACGACTATGATTACTAAAAATAGTAATATAAGCATATAAGTATCAGTACTACTATAATTGGGATTTCTGTTTTTGCTATTAATGCTATGAGTACTATTACTACTGTTATTTCTATTATTACCATGGTTACTTTCATCACTACTATTCTATAATTACCACGCAATAAACCCTGGAAACCCTCCATACCCTATACCAGCACAGACCCTTTGGGTATGTTGGTTACAGTTACCCTAACCCCTAAAGCTCTAAACCCCTTAAGCCTAGACCTTATGGACCCTTTGCGAATGATATGAGGGGTTTAGGGGTTAGGTGTTTAGAGGCTTATTGCTATCATTGCTATGATTGCTATTTTTATTATGATTACTATTCTGACAATGATTCTGGTCATGACTATGATTACCGTATGATTACTATGATTACTTTTATAATTCTATGGTGCTTCAATGGTCATGCAGCCTGTCCTTCGGTGAGCTGGTGGGTACGCAATAGTAGGGCGTGAAGGGGGAAGAGTTTCTTCGCCAATCTCAATGTTCATAAGAGCCAGAATCTAAAGACCCCTTGAAGGGGGTCATTTAGGTGTTTGTATATGAGAGTATTATAGGGGTTATTAAGGGGAATACCAGGAGCTTAGACTATAGCTCATATATGTGTGAGAGAGCTTGCTGCGTCACAGGAATGCTGACGCCAGCACTAGGAAAGCTCACGATCCATGAGCCTCTTGTCAACCCCCTATGTAAAGAGCTACATGACATATGCGCGATGATTGAGGTTGTGCCTGCCTCTCGCAGCAGAAGCCTCAGTAATGCTCACGAGCCACCGACACCCTGAAATCTAGTGTAGATTACGCCCTTGGCTTGGTAAGTTCCTCAGGTCATCACGCTGAAGCTTTGTTGGGCACTAGAGCTTTGCTGGAGCCATGGTCTCAGAAGGGCAGAGACTGATAGACCCAGCAGAGCGACAGTAGCGCTAGCGCTTGTACCTGGAACTTGCAACTGGCCCAGCTTCAAACAGAACGGTCCCATCGCTGATTTGCTACCGGCCGCTAGCTACTGTGGCAACGTAACGTATCTTTATGCAAGACGGGCATGCTTGTGACAGCGTTGACTGCTTGAGCGCTGCTTCTTGTCCTGCTCAAATCGCCAAGCACGGACTCAGGCTGAGGGTTCTGAGGTGCAGCACAGCAGTTACGAGATTTGATTAATACGCGGCCGAACCTCTCACGAGAGCTTGGGAAAGAGGCTTGCCATAGCCTTGTTCAGACAAACGACTAAGACGATGTGTCTACTGCAACATTATGAGAGCGCAAAGCGAACACGAGACAAGGCCCTCGTTTCTGAATTATTCTCCAGAAGGGGTTTCCCATCATGGCTGCGCAACTTCTGGGCAAGCTGGATGAGCATGAGGTCAAGATTGCCCAGCTTCTGGAGCCTTCTTCTGATTCAAGATTCCGAATATACATATAGCCCCCCTTAAGTAGATGGAATATGGGGTATATGGGGATCTCATTAAAATATACCCAAAGCCATATTCTATCTACTTAAGGGGGACTATATCTATAGATGGATCCTGTCTACAAAGGCTATGCAGGTATACGCAGAGTCACGGGCAAGTCTGGTGTGAAGCATTGGAGCAGGTTGTGTGTGCGGATCGCAGCTGAGGAGCAGCAGAGAAGTGTCGTGGAGCGCGCTTTGCAAAGCAGCTTTGATCAGCTACGTCATGGTCTAAACCAGGCCATCAGCTTTTTTTGTGGGGCAGGGTGTGTAAAGAAGAATTCACATCCGAAAACAAGGTTCTCCTTAGGGTGCGGTGCGGAAGGCCACAGAAGCTCTGCGGAAGATGGTCATGCGCGGAAGGGGTTTGCGGAAGCTGGACATTTTTGAGTCAGAGTTGAAGCATCTTTAAGGGAGAGAAGAAGAAAGTCAGACTTTTGAACTCGAGCGGGAAACCCCGTCTGAGGTAGACGGTCGAAAGTTGATCCAAGGGCCTTTGTGCCGATATCTCCTTTGAGTATCCCACA